CCTCTCAAAGAAACTTCCTCACTGTCTATAACAGAAAAATAATTTGATACAGCGTACGTATATTCCTAATAAAATATGCAAATTTCTTCATAAAACGTATGGTTGATTAATATACAACAGTTGGTTTTAAAATTGTTTCACAACGTTTAAGCTCTTTTCGAGCATATTTTGTGTTAATAGTAGCTCCACGGTAACCAATACTAAACCATCATAGTCTATATTGGCTACTACCACACCTAAGAAAGACAAAGGCTTCGTTACAGTCATGTAACTCTCGTTGGGATTCAGCAGGACCATATAAAAATAAAATCTGATTTGTTAAACAAAAATCACGAGTCGAATGTTTTGGTTCAAAACATCATTTGTCACATAATGTATCAATTCATTATATTCTAAGAGAAATTTCAATGCCATATACCAAATTCCTTGAACACTGCTAGGGAACGTGAATATTCCCTAGGAGACAATCCCCAAAAATGCCAGGGAACGTATACATTTCCTGACTTCCTGCATTCCCTGTAACATATGGAAATATGATCGTAGGATACAGAACTGACTGATGCGTTTAGTCACACAAGTATTTGGAAAATTCACACGGATTGAGATTTGAGTCATTGATTGTGACTGGAAAATACAAAACGAGTAGCCACTCAAGGCTAAGAATGTGACTTCCTCCTATTTTGCGTGTCTTATATAGTTTTATTCTTTCATGCACTATTTCATAATTCACTGTCCATCGTTTGTATTTTTGATGTCAACACAGTACACATATAAAATATATTGAATACTCAGAACGATTTAACAGCTAACTTACTGGGCACATTCCCTACTTCATCTATCCTTTTTTTCTATCTCCACCCTTTTCTTTATTTTCCTTATTACAAAACCAATTACATCAGAAAAAACGAAATACGCGGTGGTTTAGTAGTATTGTTACCAAATTAAATGATTTAAAAAAAATTTTTATACGAAATTAGCTTTGGTGACAAAGCGAAGCGGATTTCGCAAGAGACCAAACTACGATGTTGGTATTCCTGCTGATGCTAAACCTCAAACTGCGTTTTACAATACCCAAAATATATTCACAAGAAAACAGAAATACAATTTTGTAATCACTACAAAACACTTTTGAGTTTGTCACGTGTTTAATAATACATTTTCAGATGCAGAACGAAATCTATAACCGCTTGCTGATTTTTTAAAATACGCTTTTCTCTAGGGTGTGTATGCTATAATTTTTCTTGGTTAAATGATCTGTGTATTTAGTGGCATAATTTTGTTTATGATATAAGCATTTATATTCTCATTCCACCTGTTTGTATGCTGTTAGTCTTTTAATAGTTCCTGCTCTGAAATAATAGTTCGAGTAAGGTATGTCTTCTATATTTTTACTTTCTGTCCAACAAGACAAAAATAAATAATTTGAAAGAGAAAAGTTTGATTTTCTAGTTGATTTGACTTTTTTTTCAACGAAAATACAAAATTTCTAGTCATCATTTTACCGTTTAGCACAATAGAGCAGTATATTTATTCAAAGTTTTGAGTTATCGAGCTCACTAGACTCAACCAGTTTTGTTCTTTCTCAAGAGAAAAGAATAGCAGTTACCATAATATTTCGTAAAATTCAATATATTATATGTGACATTCTGTATACTAAAGATTCATGTGCTATTAACTCGGACAATATTTTGTTTAGGTCTGCTGTTGCTGATGATATGGAAAGTGGTGTTAGAATGAGAATCGTTTGCTCAGTTTGTCCAATATCGATAAGTGAGTAGCAAAAAATCACTATATCAGCGTTTAGAAATTACACTACTAGTTCATGCTATTTTTTTTATAGACCATCTTCAGAAATAGTAGTGATAGAAGTTGATTGTTGAGGAAAACGACTAAATAATATTATAAATGTCTCAAACTGTAATTTTTTCAACCGTAATATACGTAAATCAAAACCGATTCCAGTGAAATACTTATAAAATTGAGAAAACCTATGAAGTGCGTAAATAGCGCTCAAATAAATAAAAAATTAATGGTATATTCGCTCTTGTATCTTGTGGTCGTCCCATTGCTCTCTCATTGGCAGATGCTATGGAAGGTATTCTGCTTCTTCTCAGGAACAGAAGTATTTAAAAGATGATTTCAGTTCGCAGTAGTGTCACAATTTTTTTAGATTTGTTGTGATCATGATTTGCCACGTTTCTAGAAAGCTGCTTTTAATATTTGTCATTATTTACATTCAACAAACAAAAGTAAAAGGTAAGCACGATCATATGCAAGAATGATGGTGATTATCTATTTTATTTAAACAAAACATTAGGTGTGTGTCGATGGACCAAATGTGATTTTGATTCCGCGAATTTATTAGACGATAAGCAGCAAGTATGTAATGAAGCTAATAAACTGGAGCCAGTGAATCAAAAGGATTGCAAACATGATAATGGGAAAAGCTATTTGTGTTGCACCACAGATTGTTATTATCGTGAATGTAATAAAACATGCCACGAGCTCGGTTTAGCTTTTGTCTTTGGAATGAAATCTAAAGGATGTGATATACAGAAAGGGGGAGAAAAAACAATGCAACATAAACAATTTTGCTGTAAAACAGAAACAGGTACAATTTCAAAGATTTCGCATTTTCTCACTGACTGTTTCATTAAGGCACCTGCTATATGCGCTTTGTTTTTAGTAATCAGAAGATATATTCCACAAGAAACCGCTTCTCTTAATCCTAAACTATATTATTAATAAAGTAGAACTTAATATAGACTTAGCAAAGTTGAACGATGATGAGGCAGAATTCGAAGTCTGAGTTCGCATGATTTTGAAAACATATAGGGCTCTGTTTCAAAATGTTTTATGTGTTATTTACTCTCATACTGCGCCTCTCCCCCTTCCCCTCCTATCGTTTATGTTTTTAATCGTGCTGAAGTGTTAGAAGTACGGTGGCTATGTGATTTTATGGGCTTAGAGGAATATTCATTGATACGGCACAATAGGCCATTTTAATTGTGCTTAATTTGAGTGGATTACATGAAATTATGATCTTTTCCATATTCAATTCTATCGCACTATCGTTCAATTCTGTTGGGTCTATAGTCAGTTTTGTTTTCAATTCTGCTATGAAAATGGTCAATTTTGATGACATGAGTTTCAATTCTCCTTAACGCAATTAGATTAATTGCTTTTCCACATTCAGTTCTGTCTCATCATTGTTCAATTCGGCTGGATCGATTTTCAATTCTATTTTCAATTCTGCTGTGAAAATGGTCAATTCAGATGAGATGAGATTCAATTCTGCTGAACTCGAAACTATCCCTTGTTGATATACAATGCTGCTTAAATTTCAACTGCGTCTGTTGTTCCCGATTTTGACGTTTGTTTTGATTCTGCTGTGTGCTGCTTAGAATTCTGAATCTGGAAGAACTCAGCCACTACTAGAAAAACTTTACGAAAACATTCAGTCCAGAGCAGACCAATTTGATCTACGCTGTATTTCCTACACTAAACTGATAAACGTTCGCTTTATGACGAGGGGTCAGTTTCTTGTTAACATAAGAAATGAAAACGAGCAGTGACTGACGAGGCCAAGGTTCCCAAGTGTTCTATCGTTTTTTGCTCGCAACGTACATGGTTATAGGTAGTTTTCGACACTCGTCACGAATATGGTATTCATTTGGGTCCATATGGACTTTTGAAGTGAATTTCTAGAAAACCACCATTCTCTTGAGACCCATCCTAACATCCAAGATGAAGAGATTTTGGTCTATCCGTCTTGTAGAGCATAAAGATTGAATTTTGGATTACTTGAAAAAATTTGACATCTCGATTTACTGCAAAGCGTCAACTTTCACCTGTTTTTAAAATGAAATTCCATGAACTCGTCCAAAACACAAGCTTTAGATGCGAACAGATTTTCATACAGGTAACTCCACATGCTCTACAAGACAGCTAGACCAAAATCTCTCCATCTTGGATTTTAGGATGGGTCTCAAGAGAATGGTTTTCTAGAAATTCACTCCAAAAGTCCATATGGACCCAAATGAGTATCATAGTCGTGATGAGTGCCGGAAATTACCTATAACCACGTTCGTTGCGAGCAAAAAACGAGTAGACACTTGTGAACCTTTCCTTGTGAATAGAGCCAGGAGAACATGAGAGACTGGCTTTACTCAGTTGCTGCTTCTCCTCGTTGCTTGTGTTAACAAGAAACTGACGTCACCTACTTTCCTCGGTCAATACACGAACGTTGTTGTTGTTTATTATGTAATTTAGTAGCATCATAGGAAATTACTGCAATTCAGTTACAAAAACGACGTTACATTTTTTTAGAATCGAAAGTTTTGAACAAAAGTTTTTGTTTTTAGATCTTGTAAGCCCACGCTTTGGATTTCGGTTTCTCGTGATACTGACCGTTTCAATGATATGCGGCTGTGTACTACTGATAGCTCTCTTATCATTAGCAGTCTATTATTTTCGACATCGCCTTCGAGAACAACGACCACGTGCCTACTCCAAAGCATCGTTCGATCCATTACCCGACATTTCTAAATTTCGCGATACATTACCGTTTACATGTCAAGATCCTCTTGCAAATTCAAGCACCAATAATATTTTCGATAAACAAATACCATCACAAGGTAATGCGATATTAGCATAAAGGAGAAAAAGAAAATTCACAATATTATGCGTACGGCTGTCATTAAACTCGAGCTTTGACATTCTGAACAAAAATATTCTCCTTGATGTTGGTCAATCTATAAAATCTAGATTTTTTTCTATGTTTTATAATATATTTTGCTGAACTGGAATGGTTGGTTGTTTTCGTTAGAATAGCAAATAACGAAAGAATCTCACTAAGTAATTCCTCTGTTTTTTTTTCTAGGAATTTACTTTATCCCCTTCACTCGCACGGGCTTTTTTGACGCTAAGCAATTGGCGTCATAGTTAATTCATAAATCAATTTGGAAAATATTGCCTACCATAATAAAGCATGGTATTTGAATATCCGAGTGGCATATCATGCTCTGTAACGGCAGGCAATCTTTTCCACGTTTACATATGAACTAACTATGATGCCAATTGCTTGGCGTCAAAAGGCGCCTGCACCAATGAAAGGGTTATAATAGTTAGTTTTTGATGCTGATTACGAATCTGATGTTTGATTGTCCCCATAAGCCATTTATAAATCCTTTTACACAAAGAACCGTTTAGAAAAAGAACAGAATACAGTAACGGATATCCCTAGAGAACGTACTGAGAGAAATACTCCACTTGCGTAATGAAGCCGATACTTATGTTTTCCAGAAGAGAATTTACGTGTAATTATTTATCCAGCGTGCAAGTGCTTGATTTTTTGCTTGATAAGCACTTGTTCAAAAATACAAGTACTTGGATTGTTTTTAAAGTAATATCATTCGAGTGTTTCTCTATTGTCGCTTAATATTTTGAAAACTTAAATTATTCTATGTCTGAAGTCCACAAAGAAAACACGTTTTCCTAAGCATAGGTATAGTATTCATGTAAACGATAGTGGCGATTTTGGAAGAACGAAGACTTATATTAGCCTTTAACGACTTCGATAATTACTTTAGTCAGCTAAGAGATAACAATGGTTGTTTTTTAAAAAGAGCGAACAATAGCAAGTATGGAAATTAGTTTCTCCTGATTCAATTGTATTGAAACGTTTACGTCAAGAACAAGCAGCGAAAATGCTAGAAGCAGATATGTGTGATTAAGCAGAAACAGTAGTTTTCAACTTAGACGCTGAAGAACCAGTAGTTTTAGCAACAATAAAATCGCATTGTTTTGTTGTTTCCTTTGTTTCATGCTGGGGAAATTTTATTACAGTCTTTTACCGCCGGGGAAAATTTCCTTATCTCCTGGGTAGATTCTGAACCTCTGTCAAGAATTTTCACAAAGTATTTCTTAGCAATAAAAGTAAGTCTTTTTATCATTGAGAAATACTTCTGAAAGTACATGGTAAGTGAGAAATTTTGAAAACATTTGCCAATTTTTCCAAGTACTTACCAAGTACTTAGCAATTAAACAAGTACTTGCATCAAGTACAATCTCTGGAGTAGATCACTTTTATTAGTAAGATGCAGCTAATGCAAAATTCGAGTGGGTTTTATTTTTCAATTTGTCATACATATTCTGATTCGCCTTGTTCAGCTGATCACGAATATCACCTTTAAAATATTTAAAAGTCCTTTTTTC